CAGTGTCAGTGTATATACTGATTCAGTGAACGCCAGTGTCAGTGTATGTACTGAATCAGTGAACACCAGTGTCAGTGTGTCACTGTCAGTAATTCACTGTTTTCACTGAAACTGCACATCCCTATACTTAGGCGACTAGAAGAATTCAGTAGAAAACCTGTAATACCATGAATATATGGAATTTTCTTGTGCTTCTGAAACAAGAATCTGCACAGTGCATACTGTAATTGATTGATATAAGTGTTTTCAAGATTAGAAAAATCATTTTTGAAATCTTTCTATAGTTTCTCAATTAATTCGCTACTAATATTTATGAAGAAAAGCTTGAAATAAAATCATGTACATAAGAAAGTGAATAAGAGTAGAGATATCTGGAAATTCGAAGACTAAAACAGTAGTTGTCTTGGCTATTTATATAGAAAGAAGAAAAAAAATTTGATAAACCTGAATTAAGTAAATGAACAAGAAATTCGAATCATAGAAGTCTAAATGTCAGATGAAATTCTAAAAAGTTATTAATCTTAATTTTCCTGTTAAGTTACGCGAGACATTTATCATTTCTGGAAAGTAATTGATAAATGAATAGATGATAGTTCATAATCGTCTGTTAGATTGAAAAAGCAAAGACATTCAGCTCTCATATTGTATAAGCGTATCAATTAAATATTATGATGATTATTATACTTTAGCAGCAACAACTGTTCAATCTGTTACAGTAACACAAGATAGTTCTTGCGACATTGATACAATCTGCCCGGTTGGAAATGAATTTTGTGAGAAAATATCTCAAAGTGATGGTGAGTGATAGACCTTCGCGTTAATGGTTTCTTTAAAATGTTTCTCGTTCAGAACATTCTCAATTAGACTTGTACAATATATTTGATAATAAAATGACTCATTTATCCGTGACACGACATTTGCGCGTGCGACACTTACGCGCCGACACTTGCGCGCTGACACTTGCGCTCACGACAAATGCGCGCAATGACACTTGCGCGCACGACATTTACGCGCATTAGAATGAATTTTTTCCTTTCCATATTGTTTGATTAGTTAAACTCATCAATGTGAATAAAAAAGAGTGTTCTGTTTCCACATTATTGCATCAGTTTGTATAAATAAAAAAATCGATGAGATCATGAGATTAATTAATAAAGAGGAATACAATACAATTAAAATAAAAACAAGATGTAGGAGATGAAACATAAGCATAAATAAATTATTCGTTAATATTTACATCTTGTCGATAACTTCTATAAAAAAATGTCTATGATCCAATCAATCAAGGGTAAAGACTAACTTCTTCTCGACGGTTTTCGTTATCGTCGAGATAGATTAGTTTGGCATTGTATTAAACGAAATTGCAAAGGCCTTTTCTGAATAATTTCTGAATGTTTGATTTGCTATTTACTAGTTGTAAATCTTATTTAATTATGGCCTTTTCTTTACTTGTATAATTCTTGCTTTTCATAAATATTATTTCAATAAATAGTGGTTCAAAAATTTCCCAGAATAATTAAATTAACATCGAAAAAATGTTCGTGTTGCGCGTAAGTGCCGTGCGCGAAAATGTCGCTGCGCGCATTTGTGGTGCGCGCAAGTGTCGGCGCGGAAATGTCGCGCGCAAGTGTCGGTGAATCCACCCCACCCACACCCACCACACGCACACCCACAGCCACACCCACCCATACCCACAGCCACCGCCACACCCCACCCACACCCACACCCACACCCTCTCTATTAAAATTAGTTTCACCTACTTTTATCATGTATAATATAGGTAAGAAGATATGCACTTATATTTAATTAATTTTAGCGATCCATTAGAGACACGAAAGCTGTTTGTATGCTTTTCGCACATTGTACGAACCAAACAACGTACTATATCAAACATTGTTACATCAAACAATTATTTCGTGCTATGACCATTTATCAGTAGAACATGATTTTTTTGTAGCGATTATGTAACAAATGATATCATTGATACATAATAATGAAGAACAAATTATTATCTAAAAAATATTCAAATGATTACTTAATGAAGACAAAATCTTATTATTCCCTTTAACCCTTGCATACTTATTTTTTTTAATTTGAAAAAAACAAAATAAAATAAAATTCTTTGTGTTAAAAACAAAATGTCATATATTGTTGATAACCTAACTTATCTAAAATTGATAAACATGCAAATTTTATCATTGGTGGTGGTCCACATATACATATTAGAACATCATCAGCTGGTGGTGGCATATGTTCTTTTAACATTGTTTCATTAATAAAACCCTTTGAATAATTCCATTGTGCACTTTCTCGATCGACAGTATACCATAATTTAAATCGTTCAGAATTTGATGCAGCTAATTGTTCTAATTCACTGCGTAATAAAATATCTTGTTCAGTTTGATTTGCAAATAAAAGCCAAATTTTCATGTCATTACGTTGATCAGATACATTCGATGTTTGTTCTTTTAATATTTCATTTAATATTTGATACATGGGTGTTATACCTGATCCACCAGCAATTAAACCAAGATGACGAACATGTCGAGTTACAAATGATTCAGGTTTACGTGAACGAATATCAAATAAACCACTATGCTTATAAATAAGATTACCCAATGGACCACTTCAATAGTATGACCAAAATGAAGTTTATCAATATATTGAGTCATTTTACCATTTGCATATATTTTAATAACAAGATCAAAATAACCTTGATTATCATCTGATGTTACGGGTGTATATGGTCTTTTAACAAGTTCACCATTAATATGTGCTGTTAAATAAATATGTTGACCAATAGGTAAACCAAGTACATGTTTTGATGATGGAAGTTGAAAACGAAAACGACATGTATCATGAGAGAGATTTTCTTTATAAACCAATGGAAATTTATATTTTATATCTGGATTTTTTAATGTAATAATCACATTTTCTCGTTTATCTTCTTCAGCATTATTCCATTGATTTTTATTTTTATATAAAATAAAAATAACAATAGAAAGAATACTAATACTACCAATAGCAAAAAGAGTTGACGTATCTATGGACATATTTTTATTTAAAACCTAATAAATCAAGAAAGAAGAAAAGTATCAAGAAGAATGGTAACAGCTGCATTGTTTATTAATTAAATAAAGTACAATTCATAGATGAAAACTAGAGTAACCTGTTTCTTAGTACAGAAGAAAAAAATCGGGATATTGATGAGTCATTCAATGTTATCGGATCATACCAATCAAAATTGATTGTGATAGAGAACCTTATTTTTTTTTATTCGTACAGGCTAGATCGCATAAAATGGTTTTATAGATGTTATTTTCAATAAGGCTTGAGCCTTCTCACTGTTTGAAAAAATTTCTGTGTCTCGCTTGTATTAGTTCATGAAGATGCTTTGTTTAGTAATGTGTTTGTTAATTATCATTTTAATACGTCAAAATTTTATATTAAATTAATAAATTACGACAGACGAAAATAATTGAAGTTTTATTTCTTTGTTTCGTAACGTTTGAATGGAATGTTAGAAAAAGGAAGGATTAATTAACTTTCGTCAGAAATTACAACTTCGCTGTTACTATTCCTTTTATGTTTTAATTTTAATTCCTCGCTGTAAAGAGTAACATATTCGAGCTGATATGCGTTATTTTATAGATAGAAAGCTTCTATGCCATTTTAGATACATATTTTTTCTGTACTTGAATTTCATTGATTTCAAAATGATTTTTCGATAGAACTGAAAAAATATGTTTGCTTTTGAAAGAATACTTTCATAATCAATATTTTTCTCGTATAAAATGTGAAACTATTTTGACAGGGTTTCGATCTTTACACATTTGATGGTTTGAAGGTTTCTCTGAGTCTTGTATTCAGACTTTCTCTTTCGGAAGAGCGATTTAAAATTCTCAGGGAACAAATATCTACTTTTGGAAGTATGGACACATAGTACGAACAAAACAGTGATCTCGATACATTTCCGTAGTTTGTATTAACAATCGTAGCAAAATTTTTGAGCAAAACGATTCGATCACTTGTGCTTTGTTCGTTTGTAGAACGGTAATAGATAGAATTTAATATTACATATTAATTGTTATGATATCTTGTTCAATAAATGCTTTTAGTAATTTTTGTTTTCTTTGTAAATTCAATCTTATTTTGATTAAGTATTAATTGATGCAATATCGACAACCTTAGATTTCAAGACATATAAAGTACAGGTTCATTTCAATCTTCATCTAATTCATGAATAAAACATGACAATAGTTTCAACAAGTTTTCTAATGAAATCTTTTTTCGAAAACGACAGTTCCAATAATTTTTCATCTTAGGTCACACAAACAAATTTTCTTTTCCATCGATTTTTATTATCAATTTTGAACATTGACGACTATAGTTTCGTATATTAAATAATTATCCGAATCTAAGATCATATGATAAATATAGATAAGAATAGTCAATTGACTGTTCTAAACTTATGCATTTAAATAATCGTTTCATAGTTCATTTGCTTTAATAAACATAGCTGTATTTATCTTAGAAACCATTTCGAAAACGTTGAGCATACTCTGTCGAATATAATATTCATTTTGAAACATTTGTTTCTGACATTGTATGATGGAAAGAAATAAATCAATTATATAATATTCCTTATTGACACGCATTGAAGATCTACCATCAAAACAATATCCTAATTTATAGAGAACATACACAAGACAATATTCAAGATTACGAACCCCCATTGCCGATATAATCTCGATTATTTATTGAAGAAATATTTAAAGTAGTTAGAGTTTAAAATAATTGTAAAAATGAATTAATAAATAATGAACATTTAGATTGGGTATAGTTAAGATAAGAAATAAATAATTCATTCAAGCTTTAGTAAGGATGAAATCGTTCATCAGACAAAAAGTTATTAAATAGAAAAAGTCAATAGTTTTGGTGTTATAATGATCCAATAAAGTTTATAATTAACATACTAAATTAATCTTACAGCTTTAGTTTTTCATGTAATATGGAGAAAAGCAATATAATAGGGAACTCGCGACATCTACTGAAGTGTACAAAAACGTTTTCACTAATAATTTCAGAGATTAAATCAAAATAAAATGAAGTATTTGATATACATTTTATCTGTTAAATGGTAATTTAGCTTCTTTTTAGATTAGTCATTATCTTGTATTCTCCTGTGTGTATATTGTTTAATAATAATATTATTTTTCACAATTATCAGTGTCAAAATAAATCATTACAGTTATGAATGAGACGATAATAATACGATCAATATGAGATTATTAAAAAGAAGCTATGGAATATAGAAGAAAATGTTTGTAATTAGTATATTTAATCGTAAAACATGGACTGATTGATGCGAGGAATACAGGGAAAATATTTTTCATATGAAAATACTTTATTTTTTTCTTCTCGTCTATCAAGTTTTTGACATTGGCATTCATACTACTGTATGCTGATGAATTCTATTAGTATCTCAAGAGAACTCTAAATAATGTTTACTTATAATGGGACTTATTCTTATACGTACAATTATGATATATTCTAATAATTCACCTGATTGTGGTATTATACAACTACCATTGATTAATATGTATGATATTGATCTGTAAAATCTATGTATCAAGCGTCTACATACATTTCCTTCTATTTATAAAAGTAAATGTGTTATTTGAAGAACAAGAGTTTCGCTCAGCATTAATCAATCGATTTAAGAAGGTTTCATTTTTTTGTGATCAATTGAGCGCTAGAGAAACTACTTTCAGCTTATTGTGTTTATATAAACAATCTGTAAACTTATATCTTCTGATCTGTCTAGCGAAAATAAATTGAACCTGTTCGGCACCGGTAGAAAAATAAATATGTTTGACGAACCCAATACTCAGACGAAAATAATAGATTATATTAAAAAAGGAATGGATATGTATTTATATTACTTCATTATTTTTTTTGCTACTGTCTTGTGATATGCACTGTGCGTTTGTCTCAAGGATTTTTCTTCTGTCTTTTGTTCGTTGCTCAACATTGAAGACACTCAATACTTTTGTTTATTAAGCTCATATATTGATGATTATGATACTTTCTTTTAATACTTTAAACAGTTGTTTTAATGTATTTCACAAAAAAAAATAAAGTATAGAATACACTCACGACATTTTTTCTTCTTGAATAATATTTTCAAAATAAAATTTCATTTTGGTTTTAAAAGAGATGTATTTGATTACAAAAGATACCTTTTATCATAGTTAGTTTGATATCAGTAAGTTTTTCTCTTATTCGATATGTTGACATTTAGAATTCAAATTATTAAGGTGATCGTCCTTATTATGGTTTCTCTGCCAAAATACTTTTATAACACTCAATATTTTGCTGGCTGATGTACCTTAATAAAAAAACTCTTGTTCCTGATTCAGATCTAAATGATTCAGTGCCATTTACTCAGCATAGACAGGTATTGAAATCAATTTTTCATATTTTATTCAATAATAGGAATCTGAACTTCTTAATGATTAAAAGGCAATTCAACTTCTTTGAAATACTACAAATGATGTAACTCTTTATTATAATGAAATGAAGAAACGCTTCCAGGTGTCAATCTTTTAAAAGCGATTCGTGTCTCTACTGTATTGCTGCTCAGCTATTATATCGTTAGAATATTTTTTTATCTCAATGGTGTGGTCTGTCTCAAGAATACCAGGACACCTTGGTTTTGAATTTCAAAGTAAAAGCATAAGTTGCAGACCGCTTCATTACTGTAAAGACGTTTTTACCATGACCGTATATTAAAATTGAAATAATTAAAATATCTGAAACTTTTGCTTTCAAGTTGAGATTGAAAATAAAATTTTTCTGCTGTTTCTGAGTGAGGTCGTAGTATTGTGGTACAAAAGAACCCTAAATTTGTAGTAGCTTGGCAACAAAATATAAGATATATGAATTCTTTTCAGACTACTTGATAGCTCATTACAGTCTATGTAATGCATATATAGTTACTTTGTTCATGTTTTCGATGCTGATCAAAACAATAGGAAGAGTAAATGCTTATATGTCCACCATCTCTCGATTGATAGAACAGGTAATGTATAGAAATAGCACGACGAGTGTACGTTACTTCACTCTGTCAATGGAAGTCAGATGTTTTTCTTTTTTTTTTGATAACACATATTAGCTATACTTCATTCATCGATCTATATAGTAAAATCTTAACAAAATCGGAAGTATCACAAGTTAACGTTATTTGATCGATTGTCAACTACTAAGATTGGTCAAAAAAATCTATTTTTTATTACTTTCTGTCTTTTGCTTTTATACTCTCAAATTGTTCTTTTTACTATATTGGTCATTCTAGTTACAGATTGACATGCTGAATAAAAATGCTTTCTTACAAATTTTACTCGAATAACATAATTTCATATTGCCATAAAACGCCAATATTGCCCTTATGAAGTTAATGTACGAGTATGACATTAATTAACGACTGTAATTTTTTCATAATAATGGAATCAAATTATGGCATAGTCTGATGACAAGTAAGAGATTAAAAGAAAAATTCTTAATGATGGTGAACAAAAGAACTATCAGTCAACGAGAAACATTTGTCAGATAAATATTAACTACAAACTAAAATCTTAATGATCATGATTGTGAAGTTATTTCTGCCATCTAAAGATCATCGTATTTTATTATTCTTTCGTTTTTTAAAATAAATTAATCGATATATCCAGAAATTAGATTCTAAAAATACAAATGTCTTTAGTCTACAACATAATAATTAGAAATGATAAACATACCGATCAAGTGCTACATATTTGCCATTGAATAAATGAACAGTGATGAATAAATGTCTGCGAGCTCTCTACAGAGGAAGTCATTTTGATGATACGTGATTTCGATCACATTATCATTTTAAAAAAATAATGCTCTTTTCTTTATTGAGAATTAATGATCAAATTTTTGTTTTTCAACGTTCTGTATTACTGGAAGGAGACTTTCGAATCATGTAGAACTAATTTTTATGTACACTAGACTGCAAACAACAAAGAAACTAAAGGAATTCTTATAAAAGTTGATCGACTAAATAGACTATACGATTTCATTGAAAAGAACCAGGAATTTTTCAAGGAATTTAAATAATTTGTTAATTATTGAATAATTGACAATATATATACCAGGCATGGGCGGCGCAGGATTTTTTGGATATGTTGTATCTCCGTTTCAGAGCATGGGACCCAGATGAAACTCATGGAGGGTGATATTGAGCGTAAATACTGAGTTTTATTCAAAAAATTTTTGCGATCGAACTTTGCGAAAAAATTTTTAAAAATCTTATTGCTACCCCTAAAAATTTTTTTGCTTTTTTGTAGTATTCCATTTTTTTAAATTCAATCGTAATCTACATCGAATTTCATCAACAGATTTCAAATTTCACCTGAAAATATGCATCCGTTTAGGAGTTATAACATTTTGAATTTTTGAGAAAATTGTCGAGCCATCTCTCAAAGATTCAAAATGTCATAACTTCTGAACGAATGCATATTTTTAGGTGAAATTTGAAATCTATCGATGAAATTCGATGTAGATTACGATTGAATTTAAAAAAATGGAATACTACAAAAAAGCAAAAAAATTTTTAGGGGTAGCAATAAGATTTTTAAAAATTTTTTCGCAAGCTTTGATCGCAAAAATGTTTTGAATAAAACTCAGCATTTAGGCTCAATATCACCCTCCATAAATTTCATCTGGATCCCATGCTCCGAAACTGAGATTCAGCGTATCCAAAAACTCTGCGCCGCCCATGATACCAGGGATGGGTATTGGATTCTAAGAGCTTGTCTATTCGAATGATTTATAAGCAACGATCAATTGATTGCGAAGATCGAACGTGTCTCCTAGAAAATTTCCAATTTTCTGGTGTAGAACAATAATTCTCTTCTGCTTGTGTCACTTAAAGTAGATTATTTTCGCGAGAATAAAGTTTTCTATCAACTAATACTACGTCTTTACAACTCTTTCAAAATCATCTTCATTGAAGATAGGACAAATTAATCTTTTGAGAGACTAATTTTTATAGAAGAAAAAGATTCATCAATCAGGAAAATAATTTTTTTTACAAACCAAGGGCTTTTTTAGTAGAAAAATATACTTTTCATGAAGAAAATACTCCGTTATCTAGTGAACATATTATAAGTTACTTTTTATTGATCATTAGTCATTAATATATGTATATACGTATGTAATTCAAAAATGTAATCAATATATGAATTATTATAACTACAAAGCCATGTTTTGTTGGCTTTTTCTAGAGAAATTATAATTAATATTTTTTTTCTTTATGGACAACATCATAGATTTGTTCACAGACAATCTGTGGCAAGTCACCTTATGGAATTGTCATAATGATTGTGCCTGTCTTATTAAATTGATTCTTTCTTCATATAATTTAAGTCACGAGAGAAAGTGAGGATTCTTTCTGTCAATTATTATGTCATGGAAATTTGCAGGGAAGTAGCAGAAGCAGAACAGTAATAATTACATCCTTGTTCTCAATCTGCTTGTCGCTATGAGTTTCCTGAGATGTATATATATTATATTTTTTCTATATCTTTATCTTTCTCTCTCATTGTTGTTTATTTTTAATATTTTTCTCTCTTGTTTAACATTAGAAATAACTTAATATTACTCTTGTCTTTGAAATGTTGGTTCCGATGTAAAATGACATACACGCACATAAAGATTGCTAGATAATGTCATCAATGGCATATATATGAATGAATTGATTCATCTGATACACAGTAACATATAAGAGTTAGATGACATGTAGACAAACGAGTGTAAAAAGAAAAATTATTGAAAGCTCATCTATATGATATACGTTATGAAAGAAGTTATTTTCTACACTGTTCCCTTGTTGTTCTTTTATGTCAGTCGATCATTTTTGTTTACTTCATTACTTGACTGGCGATGAAAAAAACTAGAGAACAAAAGAGACATTGAGTCTTTGTCACATTTATCTAGTAAGCAAAAATGGAGTAATAAAAAGGAATGATGAAGGAAAAGAAAAGAAAATTGGAATGACATGTTCATCAATTGTTCTAGTCTTCAAATATCTTTCCTTCTTGCCTTATTTGGGTTCATTTGAAGCAAACTAGATGTTTCTATGGCCAATGACAATAGTCATCCATTCAATAGTGATGTCATTGCTGATACTACATTAGTTCAAATTCAAAAGCAATTATCATTTGAACAACAACAACGAAATATTCAAAGACACCATCGACAAAGAGACTTTGTTAATCTCCTATTTTTAAATAATCGAAATAGTAATTTTTCGAGTTCAAATGATTCATCTCTTAGTATAACATCACATTCGGTAACGGATGATGATTTTAATCGTCTTAAATATTTTTTACGTTCCATAATATGGCCTATCGATCATCATATACGTCGACAATTATGGATAAATATCTTAACATTAAACCGAATTAGCTCATCAAACCAAAATCATCATGCAGCTTGTACATCACAAACAGCATTAACAACAACATCTATGATTATTGATAATAATTTAAACTCTTTATCATCAAAACATAATGGCCAAATTTTGTTGATACGACTAATTTATGTTTCTATTATTTAACTGAAGCAACAGGTCAATCTCTTTTACATCGTATTCTTTTAACATTTGCTTCACATCATCCAGACGTAACGTATTGTCCAACATTAGAACCATTTTCAGCGTTACTTTTACATTATCATAATGAATATGAAGTTTTCTATTTACTTAATCGTTTATTGATCAAAAATTGGTTCTGTGGTGAAACACATTTACAATGGGAAGCTTATACTAATGTTTTTAGAAAATTACTAAAACACTACTATGTATGTTGAATTGAATAAAATTCAATAAAAATAAATTATCTTTCTATTATTTAGAAATCATCAGCTGATATTATTGATTTACGTTACAAAAGTGCAAAAGTGTTTTATCAAGAATGGCTTTGGTGGATATTTCGTTATTTACCTTTTTCTTATCTCGTATTAATTATCGTTTCTATATTAAAGATTGTACTTTTTCATTTGAATTTAGGTCAAAATCATGGATTGTTTCCTTCTTGAAGGTCCAAAAGTTTTATTTCGAATTAGTTTGACACTTGTTTATTTATTTACAAAAGGTATATTTCGAAAAAAAAACTTTGTCTCTCTGCCTTTCCATCTCATTTTACAGGATCTCATCTATGCAATGCTTTATATAGATATTCACAATCATTTTTTCCCTAATTTAAGTTTCCTAAATATAAGCTTATTTTTTTAAAGTACACTTTACTTTAATCATAATCGTAACATTGTAATATTGCAGAAAATACATTGATATTAATGACAGCTTTTTTCTTATTTTCAACTTTATGAAAAGGAATAGAAAGAGATATAAGTGTCATATTCAGTTTAATTATTTAATATGATGTTTTTTAATCTAGAAATAAAACATGAATTCGATGGAAATATTCAAAACATCGCTGACTTTTGTCGACTAATTCCAATATCGATTGATCGCCTTCTACATGTAAGTTATTGAATAAAACTTTCTTTGTAGGAAAAGAGTCACTAGAACATGTGTTCCTTCTTTAAAAAATACCAAACTATAGACTTTGTAATTCGATCATATCCGGATATAAATTCCTTCATAACGAATTCCCTCCATTTTTTTTTAATTAATTTTTCATTCAGATTGCATTTCATATTCGAAACTTGAAACGACGCACAATTGAGCAATTAATAAAACATGAAGAGAAAACTTTGTGTGATACTCGTCACCAATCACCATCTGATAATATCAATCAAAATAATAATAGTGGAATTATTCCTGATCGACAACCATCATTAGCTACACCTCATCATCTTACACAAATGCCACAAAAATCAATGCTCGATCATCAACAAGCGTTTCATGATTGATTTCTAAGAAAAGATAAAATAAAAAAAAACAAATTTCATTTTCTAGTTTCTTATCTAATGGAATTGGTTAAGAACTATTTTGAAAATTATCTGATCTGAAAATCACATCTTCCAACCTTAGACCTTCAGATTGGGATGTGGGTGTGGATGGGTTTGGATGAAGACAAAATTGTGACCCATACACGCACAGTCGCCCTTCACCCAAACAGTCCACAGCCATAAGTAGATCGACACTCACACCCACCCATAGCCACACCCAGAAGAGGCAGACCATCTAAAACAAAAAAGGGTTCATTGATACAATAATATACTATTTTTTCGTGTTTCTTTTTTTTATTTTCAATTATAACTGAAAATAGTGTGGTTTTTCTTTTTTTTTATTGCTTGAGAATTATTGCTAAATCATATTTAATTATTGGTCATTCCGATATTTTTATTGCTCAAATAAATACTAGCTTTAAGAAAGGACTGCTTCGCAACGTATAGAACTCGAGTCATGAGTGACATACAAATCACTTTTTTTGCAACAGAACTAGAGTGTTTGAGTTGATACACCTTGTTTCTATTACTTGCTTATCTGTGGCAGTTTTTTGTGAAAAGTAAGCATAATTTATAATATCATTTGAAAAAATATTAGCCTCAGTACTCAATCTCATTACTTAAATATAGTAAATAAAACTGCCATAAATTAGCATATGTATACCTAGAAGTAATAAATCTTTCAATTTTGTAATCAATCAAACATACAAAACAACTTTATCATATTTTTTCTTTGTTTCGGTGATGATCACAAAAGACGAGATAATCGTTCTATACTCGGTCAGTCCATCAAACCATTGTGATTATCAGTATTGTGGGAGTGGCGTTTTAATCATAGAATGAAATTTGATATGGGTTTACACTACAATTGAGTAAGTTTACATGCAAATTTTGTTACTGGGTTTCATGTGGCCAATAGTTTCCAGTGTTTCTGTCGTTTGTGGAATAATTTTTGACAAAGCATATATCAAAATATCGATTCCATTTTTTTTCTCTCTTTGTAATTCATTTTTTATGAAGTTGTATGTACGTTTTAGTCCTTCACTTAGTGAGGTTGAAGGTGCCCACTTCAACACTTTTTTAATTAGGGTATTGTCAGAATTGCTTCCTCTGACACCCTCCGGTCCTGGAATATGTTTGAGCGTAACATCAACGTTTTCGATTCTACAAATTAAGCCTATCATATCATTCATAGAAACCATTTCGTCTGAACCAATATTAAGCGGTAGAGTGTAGTCTGATTGCATCAGACGCATTATCCCATCGATGCAATCATCAATATAACAAAATGATCGTGTTTGTTTTCCGTCCCCCCATATGGTAACTACACCGTGGTTTTCTCCTTCATGTGCCACTAATACTTTTCGACATAATGCTGCCGGAGCCTTCTCTCTACCTCCTTTCCACAAACCTTGTGGTCCATAAATATTGTGAAACCGCACAATTCTCGTTTGCATAATTTCGAAATCCTTTGAATAATGTATTGCCATTTCTTCTGATACCAATTTTTCTAAACCATATGAATCTTGTGGTTTTGCGGGCCAGGCTTGTTCTTCTCGGAGCGCCGCAACGTTTTCTTTGGTTTGAATATGTTCAGGATAAACACATGCAGATGAAGCATAAAAATATCTCTGAACACCATTCTGTCTGGCAGCTTCTATCATATTGAATGAGATCATTGTATTATTAAATAAAATTACTGAATTATTAGATTGAATATATCCCATTCCTCCCATGTCAGCAGCTAAATTGAAGACCCACTCGCATCTTTTAGTTGCCAACAAACAATTATCGAATGCACGCAAATCCATATGTAAAAATTCGTTACAGAACTCATCTTCCTGGAAATATTCATTTTTTTTCCAATCAGCACAAATAACATAATGACCATCTTCTAGCAAGCGACGAGCTAAATGACTACCAATAAAGCCAGCTCCACCAGCTACCAATATACGACGCTGACAACTGCCATTAATATGATGCCCAATTATTTCCATTGTACACTTTTTATCTAATCGTTTCAATTGTTTCAGCTCCATTTTTGAATTGCCATTTCCTAATAATATAATGCGAATAGATAGATTGTTTTTCTCAACATCTTCTTTGTTCAATAGTCGCCAACAATCAACTACATACAAAGTTTTTTTCTCTGTACGATGGAACTTTATACTTTTCCAGCTATTCGAAGCAGTGGCAATAATCAAAATATCAATGTTCTGTTCATAAAGAAGTTTATCAACAGAATTAACCATTTGTACACGCTTGTCACATATTTGAGTAGCTGATGGCATAGCCAATGAATCATATGCAAAAACATCAAAGTTACAAATAAGCTTATTGGCTAATGCACAAGCAACTGAACACTCAACAACAGGAGTATCAGGTTTGTAAGATAATCCCAATATACCAACTTTCAGTTTTATTTGTGGAACATCACCAAAACTAAATTCTGCTATCTGTTCACATATTCTTAGTAGTCTTTCGATTTGATAATTATTTAACTGATCAGTTGCTTCAGCTAATAATGCATTAGCGAACACAGATTTTGCTAAGGCAGCAAACGCACGATTATCTCTTGGAAAACACGGTCCTCCATATGCTAAGGCACCTTTTAAATATTTGTTTCCAACTCGGGAATCAGAGCCAACGGCAGCACTAACAATGTCAGCATCAGCGCCTGGTAGATTTTCACATAATTCACTGAGCATATTCGCATAAGTTATTTTAGTTGTCACATATGTATTGATAGAAATTTTAGTTACTTCCGCATTGACAAAGTTCATTCTGTGAAACGGCAATGGTCGTTTAGCAACGGTTTTTAAATATAATGCTTCCAAAGCATCTCCAATACGTTTATCACTTTCACCAATAAGGATAAAATCTGGATTCAACATATCTCTAATAACCTGTCCTAATGCGATGAACTCTGGATTGTATGCCAAGCCGATTTCATTATCTTGACATCCAACTTTTCGGCCAGATGATGATTCCAGAGTATCACGGATAATTCCATCCATTGAACCAGGCATCACAGTTGATGTAACAACTACTTGATGATATTTATTACACGACTTAATAACTTCTCCGATTGCTTTAATAGCCGAAAGCACGTAATCATTGCTAAAAGATCCGGTCTTTGGATCTGATGGTGTTGGAACAATAATCATGGTCATATCTGTTTCACTAATAGCTTTTTCATAACAAATTGTAACCTCAATGTTAGCTTTGTACTGGATAATCAGTTCCTGTAATTGTGGTTCAGATACCGGAGCTTCTCCTCTTTCCAACGCATCGACAAATTCTTTGTTTACATCCAAACCAATTACATGATAACCTTTAGATGCGAAAACAGCAATCATTGGACTGCCTAGTTTTCCTAGGCCTATTACACTGATACGAAGGCTAGTGTCATCCATATATGTTAAATTGGCTGAAACTAATACAGAGTAAATTTTAAAAAAATTTTACTTTCTTGAAAGTCGAGTTTGCAAAAGTTCGAATATTTTAAAATTATTATTAATCGCCTAATGACTTTACAAGCTACAGAAAATACTTGATTATCCGTTTAGTAAAATGGGAATCTTACTTCATAAAATTACTAGCTGAAGTACCCGGCGTTGCTCGAGAAAGTTCAATCTTAATATATGCATGAAAAGTACGCATTGGGCTCGACAACATGTGGAAAATCCTGACCAGTGGGAAGCCCCGCTAGGAAACCTGTTTGTAGACAGCCTAACAAAATAAATACTCTTTGATTGAAACAAAGCACAACAACAATTCAAACTGGTCTAGAACCTCACTTTCACAATCCCTATTAATCGAGTGAATTAGGACGGTAAATCGTACTTTGTACTGCTCGAGCCACGCTGAATTCTGGTTTCTTACAAAGACAGACATACAGACAAGTTTTTGTGCGACAGAGACCTTTTTCAGCAACGTAAGAAGTCTATTTCCTTGAGCTAATGATTGGCACACAGACTTTTGAACCTGAAAACTGTTTATTTGAAATCCTGCCCTCAGACAATCTTCCGAAGACCAGCTTCCTCAAAACTCGATTCGTAGTTGACACAGATCGCCTAGTAGGATCACGGCCGGCCTAATAGAATTTCGAGATCAATAGACTTAAGATTCCTAATGCCATTTTCCCGACCATCCAGTGAGGTTTCTTTTCCCAAAAACTCGATTTCTAGTGGTTCGTTCTCAGAAAATTCGATTTCTGTTGATTTCCGGCTAACCCGAAGAATTTCGAGGCGAATGAACATTGGATTCGAACTCACCACGTGTAGAAACCGTTAGAGGACTGCTTTAGCGAAAACCCAATTTACATTAGCTGGTTTCTTAGCAGCTTAATTCCTGTTGGTTCCAAGTCAACCAATAGGATTTCGAGCTGAATTGACCTTGGATTCGAACTCGCTGCATCTGAAAACCCCTACCAGCCTGTTTTCGCGAAAACGCAATTTTCATTAGTTGGGTTCTTAGCGGCTGGATTGCTATTGGTTTTCAGTCAACCAATAGGGTTGCAGGCAAATGGACCCCACATTCGCCCTCATGGCCCTCGAAAACCTATGGTGACTTGTCTTCTGTTTGATTCCAAAATTCTGTTAAGTAGCTCTTCTATACTACCGAATGCTTCAATCTCATTGGTCAGATACATAGTCCGGCCTTTTGCGGGCGGAGAATCGATTTTTTTTGGTAAAAAGTAGTCGTTGACCGTTCCCTGGACGTAAGGGTATCCCATGCAAAGTTTAGTTGCACTCGCTCTTACAGGGGCCAAATGCATAAAGAACAAACAAACAAACAAACTTTCTTCTTTATATATTAGATATATTAGATTTGTGAATGGTTCGGAAAATCAACGATAATTTTCAGAGATGTGTGGAAATTAGTTTTAGTTTCATGGAACACCATTATATGTCCCACGAAAAGGGATAAATCAACATTAATTTTCGAAAATATCACAGAATGATGACTATTAAATAGGGCTGTGCAACTCACGCTCATGAGCCTCAGTGCTTTTACCCCTATCTCGAATAGGAAGTGAATTTGGAGTTACCCGTTACCTGATAACACAAATAGGCAGTAACCAAGTAATAATGCGAAGGAACGAAAACTTTACGATTTACTGGAACGAAAGACAGTTTTAGAAAAATAACATTGTTTAGAGAGTTTGATTCACTATTTTTAAGTTAGGACTGGGTTATTTAACTGAACCTAAAATTGAGTTACAGTAACTGCGCTAGCCAAATATAATGTATTTAAAATTTTTCTTTACCCTTATATGAACGAACCAAGTTTTTTTCGGGCTACATAAAAGACGACTTCGTATTAACCTCTGATTGGCTCCAAGAAGACTGTTTCGTCCTTACAATGGATAAAAAAACCCATGCTGAAATATGATTGGTCGTGAACTTTTTCTATTGATAAATCAAATTCGAGTGGCATGTTTCTCTCCTATTGTAAGGATGAAACATACTGTTGTGCGGGCCAATGGGATTTTATCCGAAGTTCGGTCCCATACGGTCTGAACAACAGTACGTATTCGTCCTTACAACAGGAGAGAAACAGATGGTTCGAATTCGATTTATCAATAGAAAAAGTTGACGAGTAATCATATTTCAGCAAGGGTTTTTTCATTCATTGTAAGGACGAAACATAGTCTGGTTGAAGCCAACCAGAGACTAGTGCAAAGTCGCCTTTGACATAATTCGAAAACATCATGATCCGTTCATATGAGGGTGAAGAAAAAATTGAAATAAATTATATTTGTCTAGCCCAGTCGCCTACCCATGAGAAACATGGGGGATCGGATCTTGCCGGAACGCTTTTAAATCCGGTTAAATTCGCAAATCGGAACCGATCGGATGCCGTCCGGTAAAATCCGATAACTTCCACAATTATCCGATCAAAAACGTCGACCGGATTACAGGGTTTCCGACCCCATTCTAGCAAACAGAAACCAGCGGATCCGACAAGTGGAATCGGTCGCATCCGATAGGAACCATACAAACTCCATGGCAGGAAATCCTCGGAACTCTTCAGCTTGCGTCGACCCATAAGGCAATAATATCCGGTAAAATCCGTCCTATCCCCAACACCGGAACATACCAAAACCAGCAAGAACCACCCAGATACCACCCACACTGTTCACAACACCAAAAAACAACATTAGACGACGGAATAATTTCATTATGCCAGCCATCAGGAATCCTACACTGAACGCAGACAAAAGCGATACTCTCGATACCGAAAAAAAGACAAAGCATGAAATCGCTTGCAGCACAGTCAAACGAGCGAAATTCCCACAAAAACACATCTCTCTCAACATGCCGAAAGAACGCAAAAACATCCAAATGTATCATAACCAAACATCACCCATATAAGCGCGAATACTTAGTCACATTACCAACCATACACTGCAAAAATATCAACTAAATCCCCATAAAATCCGCAGAAACGAAAACTGAAAGCCTCCTCCATGCTCATTTTCATGTGTGAGCAAAAGAGAGCTGATTTTGTGACGATCTCAATGCTTCTTTTACTTTTCCCACAAAATCGGTTGAATAAAATCAAAAGTCAGCATCACCCTCATTTTCATGGGTGAGCAAAAGAGAGCTGACTTTGTGACCATCTCAATGATTCTTTTAACTTTGCCATAAAATCGGGTTACAAAGATCAAAAGTGAGCATCATGCTCATTTTGATGGGTGAGCAAAAGAGAGGTGATTTTATGACGATCTCAATGATTCTTTTAAATTTTCCTCAAAATCGGGTAATAAAGACCAAAAGTGAGCATCATGCTCCTTTTTATGGGTGAGCAACAGATAGCTGATTTTGTGACGATCTCAGTGATTCTTTTACTTTTCCCACAAAATCGGTTGAATAAAATCAAAAGTCAGCATCACCCTCATTTTCATGGGTGAGCAAAAGAGAGCTGACTTTGTGACGATCTCAATGATTCTCTTAACTTTGCCATAAAATCGGGTTACAAAGATCAAAAAGTGAGCATCATGCTCCTTTTTATGGGTGAACAACAAATAGCTGATTTCGTGACGATCCCAATGCTTCTTTTAACTTTGCCACCAAATCGGGTTACAAAGATCAAAAGTGAGCATCATGCTCATTTTGACGGGTGCGCAAACGAGAGTTGATTTTGTGACGATGTCAATAATTCTTTTAACTTTCCCACAAAATCAAGTTATAAAGATGAAACGTGAGCATCATGCTTATTTTTGTGGGTGAGCAAAAGACAGCTGATTTTGTGACGATCTGAATGATTCTTTTTACTTTCCCGCAAGATCGGGTTATAAAGTTCAAAAGTGAGCATCATGCTCATTTTTATGGGTGAGCAAAAGAGAGCTGATTTCGTGACGACCCCAATGCTTCTTTTAACTTTGCCACCAAATCGGGTTACAAAGATCAAAAGTGAGCATCATGCTCATTTTTATGGGTGAGCAAAAGAGAGGTGATTTTGCGACGATCTCAGCTATTGTTTTAACTTTCCCACAAAATCGTGTCACAAACATCAAAAGTGAGCATCATGCTCATTTTTATGGGTGAGAAAAAGAGAGCTGATTTTGTGACGATCTCAATAATTCTTCCAACTTTGGCACAAAATCAAGTTATTAAGATCAAAAGTGAGCATCATGCTTATTTTTGTGGGTGAGCAAAAGACAGCTGATTTTGTGACGATCTGAATGATTCTTTTTACTTTCCCGCAAAATCGGGTTAAAAAGTTCAAAAGTGAGCATCATCCTCATTTTTACGGGTGAGCAAAAGAGAGCTGATCGTGTGACGATCTCACTGATTCTTTCAACTTTGCCACAAAATCGGGTTAAAAAAAGCAAAAGTGAGCATCATGCTCATGTTTATGAACAAGCCAAAGAGAGCTGATTTTGTCACGATCTCAATGATCCTTTTAACTTTGCCGCCAAATCGAGTTACAAAGATCAAAAGTGAGCATCATGCTCATTTTGATGGGTGAGCAAAAGAGAGGTGATTTTGCGACGATCTCAGCTATTGTTTTAACTTTCCCACAAAATCGGGTTACAAAGATCAAAAGTGAGCATCATCCTGATTTTTATGGGTGAGCAAAAGAGAGCTGATTTTGTGACGGTCTCAATGATTCTTTCAACTTTGGGACAAAATCAAGTTATTAAGATCAAAAGTGAGCATCATGCTTATTTTTGTGGGTGAGAAAAGACAGCTGATTTTTGTGACGATCTGAATGACTCTTTTTACTTTTCCGCAAAATCGGATTATAAAGTTCAAAAGTGAGCATCATCCTCATTTTCATGGGCGAGCAAAAGCGGAGGTGCGGGTGTGGGTGTGGGTGTGGGTGTGGGG